CTGGTAGATAATTGGTTGGCAAATAAGGTTGATAAAATTTTATTCCTGACTTTAAACTTGACTTTTATTTCAATAAGTGAATATGTTACTTAATTTTTCCTAAATTCATGAACATTTAACGTATTGTATAAAATACACTATTTAAAACCTATTGCCTCCGAGTTGATTCTGACTCACAGTGACCCTACAGGACAAAGAACTTCCCTATTGGGTTTCTGAGACTGTAAGTCTTCATGCAGCAGACTGCAGAATCTTTCTCCCACAGAGCAGCTGGTGGGGTGGAAAGCCTTGTGATAAGCAGAGAAATGCTTAGCCCACTGAGTCACTAGGGCTCAGTTTATTGTGGTGAAAAATCTTAGATTCTATCTTTGAAAAGAAAAATTTAAGAATATTTAAAGTCTCATACTACCATCTCTAACTTACCCACTCATTTATTCGTCTATCCAATATTTATGATGAATGTTTTCCATGGAGGGCAATGGGACAGAAGTAAATAGTGTGACCCTTAGAGGATGGGACTGGGTTTATATGTAAAGGCTATAGAGAATCTTCATCAAAGTCACAGAATCATAAAGCTGGAAGCGACTTCACAGAGTATGTAACTCAAGCCCTTTATGTTATAGAGAAGGGTATGCATATAATTAAATGAGGCTGAGAGGTTGAGAGACCTGTTTAAGATCAATGATTGGCAGACTTAGGAAGGGAATTTAGTAGGCCCTTTTCTCCCTTCTCTGAAATAGAGAACTCCACTTTCAAGCATATCTTGCTATCACTATCATTTGCCCAGACTTCAAATTCTGAATTATTATGAGAGAGCAAAGTTGGATTTCTAGTTACTGATATATATTAAAATAAATTTTTCAGTAAATTTAGAAGAATAGCAAGATAACAGGAAGAAATATCCATATTATCAAGAGATAATTCGTTTTAAGAATGTTAAAACACCTGTTTTTATACACATTGAAATTACAGCCTGTTGGAACACCTTATTAAGGAGCCCTGGTGGTGCAGTGGTTAAGCAGTTCTATGTTAACCAAAAGGTTGGTGGTTCAAACCTACCAGCTGTTCAGTGGGAAAAAGACATGGCAGTCTGTTTTGAAACTATTATAGTCTTGTGAGTCCTAGGGGGCAATCATTAAGAGTCAGAATCGACTTGACACCAGTGGGTTTATTATATCTCCTTATCATAGTTAACCTCAGAGTCAGCAGTTCGAAACTACCAGCTGTTCAGCAGGAGAAGGATGAGGCTTTCTGCTCCCATAAAGATTTACAGCCTTGGAAACCCTGTACAAGGTTGCTATGAGTCGGAACTGACTCCACGGCACATAACAACAACAATGATAGCTACAGTTTAGAAGAGATTACTAGTACAGAATGATGACCCCATGCTACATAATAAATACTATACCCTCTAGTTAGAGATACGATGCTATTTGTGGTCAGCTCCTACTCATAGCAATGCTATGTACAGCAGAACAAAATCCCACCTGGTCCTGTGCTAACCTCACAATTGCTGTTACATTAGAGTCCATTGTTGCTGCTACTGTGACAATCCATACCATTAATGGTCTTTCTCTTTTTCGCTCACCTTCCACTTTACTAAACATGGCATCTTTTTACAGGAACTGGTCCCTCCTGATAATACGTCCGATGTATGAGAGATGAAGTCTAATCATCTTGGCTTCTAAGGAGCATTCTGGTTTTACTTCTTATAACACAAATTTGTTTGTTCTTCTGGTACTCCATGGTAACTTCAAATATTCTTCTCCAACGACATTAACTCAAATTCAGCAGTTCTTCTAAAGTCTTCCTTATTCATTGTCCAACTTTCACATGCAGATGAGACTACTGAAAATGTCATGGCTTGGGTCAGGTACACTTTAGTCCTCAAAAATTGACATCTTTTACACTGTAATACTCAAATTGACACTCTGAAATCGATCAAACACAAAATGTATTGATAATTACTGATGACTGGAATGCAGAGGTTGGAAGATAAGAGGAAGGATCTGTAGTTCGGAAATATGGCTTTGGTTATAGAAATGATGCTGGAGATCGCATGATAAAATTCTGCAAGACCAATGACTTATTCAAACAACTTTTTAAAACAATGTAAAAGGTGATTATACACATGGACCTCACCAGATGGAATATGCAGGAATCAAATTTATTATGGGATGAGACAGTGGAAAAACTCAGTATCATATGCCAAAACAAGGCCAAGGGCTGACTATGGAACCGTCAGTACTCATAGGCAAGTTCAGACTGAACCTGAAGAAAATTGAAGCAAGCACTCGAGAGCTTAAGATAATTAAAAACGGCAATAACAGTACATTGACAGGGAACTGCCAGAAACTCAAGCCACATGAGAAGAGGATGTAGAACTAGGGCTATCATTGCTGACATCAGATACAACTTGGCTGAAAGCAAGAGAATTCCACAAAGATGTTTACTTGTGTCTTATCAACTATACAAAACCTTTTGACTTTGTGGATTATGGCAAGATATGGATTAACACTGCAAAGAATGTGCATTCCAGAACTGCACTCATAAAGAACCTGTACATACATCAACAGGCAGTCGTCCAAAAAGAACCAGAGGACACTAAATGGTTTAAAAGCAGGAAAAGTATGTACCAGGACTGTAAACTTTCACAATACTTATTCAATCTGTATGCTGGGCACATAATCTGAGAAGCTGGTTTATATGAAGAAGAACATGACATCAAGATTGGAAGAAGACTCATTCACAATCTGCAATATGCAGATAATACACCCTTACTTGCTGGAAACGAAGAGGAGTTAAAATACTTACTGATGAAGACCAAGGGCCACAGTCTTCAACATGGATTATCCCTCAACATAAAGAAAACAAAAATACTGACAACTGAGCCAATAAATAACATCATGATAAATGGAGAAAAGATTGAAGTCATCATAGACTTCATTTTGTTTGGATACACAATCAACACTTATGGACACAGCAGTCAAGAAATCAAATGACTTACTTCATTAGGCAAATCTGTTGCACAAGACTACTTTAAAGTGTTCAAAAGCAAAGATAACAGTGTGAGGACTAAAGTGTGCAGGACCCAAGCCATGGTATTTTCTATAGTCTCATATGCATGTGAAGGCTGGATAATGAATAAGAAAGACTTCAAAAGAATTGATGCATTTGAGGTACTATTAGAGAAGAATACTGAAGTAGCGTAGACTGCCAGGAACAATCAAATCTGTGTTGGAAGAAGTACAGCCAGAATGTTCCTTAGAAGCCAGGATTGCAAGACTTCCTCCTCATACTTCAGGTATGTTATCAGAAGGGACCAGTCCTGGTAAAGTGGTGGGTCAGGAAAAAAACAGAAGACCCCAATGAGATGGAGTGGCCCAGTGGCAGCAACAGTGGGCTCAACTGTTATACCAATTGTGAGGACGGTGCAGCACCAGGCAGTGTTTCGTTCTGCTGTGCACAGGGTCACTGTGACTCAAAACAACAACAACAACAATAGATATAAGGGGACACATTGGCTATGTAAGATAAACACTGGGATTTGTACCACAAGGTTGGTAGTTCGAGCCCACCACTGGCTTCATGGGGGGAAAAAAATGACCCTTTCTGCTCCTGAAATGATTTATAGCCTAAAAATCAGGGTTGCTATGAGTTAGAGCCAATTCGACAGTATTTAACAACAGCAAAATAGAGGAAAATAAAGAAAACAGAATAACTCTGAGTTAAATCTGCCCAAAGTTTCATAGGTACTAAGAGTGTCTTTGAGTCAGTTCCAAATGATAGCGACCCCGAATAGGGTTACTGCCGACCTTGCAGTCCAAATTGACCTTGTGGTTCAGTACATTATTCCATAGTGCCACACCAGGACTCCAGTGAGAGGTAGTGGTGCTATTTAACCCTAGACAGCTAGTTAACACAGGAGCTTGGGCTGCACAGTGGTTAAGTGCTCCACTGCTAACTGAAATGTTGTTCGTTGTAACCTATTAGCTTCTCCACAGGAGAAAGATGTGACAATATGCTTACTTTGGAAATCCTGTGGGGCAGTTCTACTCTGTCCTCTAGGCTCTCTGTGAGTTGGAATCGACTTAACAACAGGCTAGCCTGTTAGCTAGGAGTCCTTGGTTATACACAAAGGGTTATGGGCTCAATTACTAGCCTAATGGTTGGTTGTCAGTTCAAACTCACCCAGGAGCTCCTAAGAAGCTAGGCTTGTTGATCAGCTTCTAAGAGGTCACAGTCTTGAAAACGCTATGCAACACAGCTCTACTCCATTCATATAGGGTCGCCATGAATTGGATTCGATTAGACTTCTGGTATGATGCTACAGGATCAGCACTGGACTGAAAACCACAAGGTCAGCAGTTCAGACACACTATCTGCTTGGACAGCCTATTCAGGGTCGCTATGAGTCAGAACTGATTCAACAGCACTTAACAATAACAACAACTGGGCAAATATTGAATGATGCAAGAAACATCAAAGAAGACAGAAGGAGTTCACAGAATCACTGTGGCAAAAGGAAATGGTCAATGTTTAGTCTTTTCAAAAGGTATCAAATGATCAACAGCCAATGGTACTGAAGGAAGAAGTCCAATGTGCACTAAAGGCATTGGCAAAGAACAAGGCTCCAGGAATTGATGGAATACAAATTGAAATATTTCAACAAACTGATGCAGCACTGGAGGCACTCACTCATCTGTGCCAAGAAATTTGGAAGGCAGTTACCTGGTCAACTGATTGGAAGAGATCCATATTCGTATCCATTCCAAAGAGAGGTGACCCAACAACAACAGAAGGCCACTAACAATAACTTGCCTGTTAACTACCACACCACAGACTGAGATGGGAAGAGTCGATTGAACTAAGACTTCAAAGAAGAAACACTGCAAGTGCTTTAGAAGTTTTCAGAAACAAGTTCATGAAATCAAAATGCACATTCAGTCTTCTAATAGATGTATTTTTCAAAAACCATTTAGATTATTAATGTTTCTTACCGGGGGTTAGAAGGAGAAGGTGGATTCATTTCTTTTTGATAGTGACGACCTTGGTTGACAGGCTGTAAGAGACAATGAAAAACATTTGTGAGGTACTAATGCTGCACAAAAGGAGCCTTGGTGGCAGAGTGGCTAAAGCGCTCTATTTCTAAATGAAAGGTAGTTGGTTTGAATCTACCAGTTGCTCTTTGGAAGAAAGATGTGGCAGTCTGTTTCCATAAAGCTCACAGCCTTGAAATCCTGTAGGGCAGCTCTACTCTGTCTATATCTATAGGGTTGTTATGAGGGGGAATTGGCTCAATGGCAGCGGGATTACTGCAGTATAACACTCTTTACAGATACTTTTATACAAACCAGGGCTTCAAACTGGTTCAGTCATGGCCAATGAACTGATGGGAACAGACCCAAATAAAAAAATTTGGATGAAGCAGAGCAATAATTGGAACAGGAACAATTGTAGGTCACAGCCCTGGAATGGAAGACTCAGAAGAGGCACAGTGAATCCTTTCAGAAGTCGGGGGTGTTACTGTCAGGACTGTGAACAGTAACATATTTTCATCTTTGAGCAGGACACCGTTGTTGCTGAGCCTTCTGGTCAAGAGATTTGGTTGCTATGCAGTGAGCACACTACTCTTGTTTTCTAAGAGTGAGATTAAGTTTTAGCAGAGCATTGGCCTACAATTTTTTCCTGTTCTGTTTATTAATCTGGCTACTCACATTATATAAACTTGAGTTCATTCTGGTTTTGCTTCATTGGGCATAAATGAACCAGAAAGACTTGATACAAAACAGCTCTTATTACTGTACCCTTTTCCTGAGGAACAATTTGCAAGAAGGGACTGGGCTGTTTGGGAGATCTAGCAAATAAGAGGGGGTAAATGAGAAAACAGAGTCCTGCTGGGGCACTATAGCATAAGCACTGACTGGAAGGCTGGTTTGCACCACAAGTGTTTCTGAGCAGTAGCCGGTCACTCCTCAGAAATCCTATACAGGGTAACAATGAGTAAGAACCAATTCCACGGCACTTAACAACAACAACAAATAAGGAAACATGGGTTATTTTAATGACCAATCACTAGACTCAATAGCATCTCTGACGTAATTAAAAGTCATGCATTGGGATCTTCCTCCTTGTGATGTGGTACTGAAGGATAAGCACTGGACTGTAAGATCGGTCTGAATGGCAAAGACAGCAGTTCAGACTCAGCAGTTACTCTTTGGCAACACTACACAGAGTTGTTGTGAGTCAGAAGCAACTTAATGGCACTAACAGCAACAGCAACCATTGGTGGAGATTTCCAGCTACGGCAAAACAACACATGGCATTTCACGGAACCAATGCTGCATAGCAAACATCAACAATAATTCAGAGACCCAGAGATTCATATGTCTCTTCTATTATCATTGAGAATTACACATATATATCTTAGATCAAGATGGTAATGTCCCCAAAGTGCATAATAAAATGTCAACATTAATCAATAAACTGAAATAGGTGATTGTTAATGTTGTTGTTATGCGCCGTTGACTGGTTCCAACCCTGTATAGGGTTTTCGAGGTGATACCAACCATTAAAAATATGTTGATATCACCTTTTTCAATTTATTCTCCCCAATAAGAAACCTTTAAGGTGTTGTCTATTTCAAAACACAGCTAAATAACTACCTCCCATGTAGCCTTAAACACTTGTCTCCAGCAGAACTTAATCTTTTTTCCTTTGTTTCATCATGGGAGAAACTTTCAACACATCTGAAACAGATTCTCTTTTAGAAAAACAGCTCACAGTATTTTTTCTATTTCATTAACAATGATGTATTTCTAATATGAAAATATTTTCTAAATTCTCATTTTTAATTCTATTTATTATTAATTGGAATGTGGTATACAATTTGAAATTATATTCAAAGGATGTAAGTTACTTGTGACTTCTCTACCTAATGGAGTTGATAGTAAGGCTTTCTCACCCATAATATGGGCCACACAGTGCAGACTCTTAACAGGCAAAAGCAGAGTAGCATTCCTGTCTGTGTCTGCTGAGCACATATTCCTTATTTCCCTCATATTCCTTATTTAATGAGCCCTAAAATATTAATGATGTGGGTGATGGGAATTCTTCAGAGTAAACTGTATTCCTTTATAAATAATCTCTTGGAAGTGTTTCTTTAATTTAAATCAAACACCCTGTCTGATAATCATAGTCACTTAGCTTGACTACCTGTGATGCATCATGAATTTCAATGCACTCAGATACTTTGGTAATTGAACCAATATCAATGCATCACCATTTCAGTAATAAGAAACAACAGCTGGGAGAACAGTGGAAGGAAAAACATGTCATAAGACATATTTGATCTCACTAGAGAAATAAGACTTTCAGTAATTTGCAAGTGAAATTTAGTTCTATGATTTTGCCTTTATTATTTCATAGCAAAAAGAAAATTAGCAAGCAAAGGGCCTAGCAGGTTCTCTAGACCAACTCACACTGGTGCAGAAATACTCCTGATAATAAGTTCATTGGTATTCGTTCAGTATATCAGCTGTGCTCAGACCTCCAGTGAATGGCCCTCCGTCTATTTACTTTCAGAGGCATTTCCATAACTCTGTAAGCTTCACAGTCCTGATATTTGACCAAATTTCCATTTTCTTAACATTATACCATTAATTCTACTTCTACCCATCGAGGTCTATTTTTTTTCCCCCCAAATGACTCTCTTCATCCCTTGGAAAATACAGTGTCTATAGACTCCTACTTTGTCATGCTGTCCTTAGTCAGTCTATACACACTGGTGTCTTTCAACCTTTGATTGTGTTTGCTTAAAGCAGATTCAATGATACAATGGGTAAAAAAAATTAACAAAATAAAATATTCATACTGTACTCATTTTTACAGGCTAGAAAAGAAACAACAAATGGAAACTTTTCAAAGTAGTAAGGACTGTTGAGGAGTCCTGGCGTGGAACTGTGTGCTAATGCGCTGGACTGCAAAGTCAGTTTGATCCACGAGGTTGGTTCAAGCTCACCAGCTGCTCCTTGGAAACCCTATACAGGATCAGTACCTGGTGGCACTTAACAACAACAATAAGGACTACTGACCACCGCTTGTCAGTTTGTCATACTATGGTTGCTTGCATGTTGTGATGCTGGAAACTATGCAATCTGTTTTTAAAATATCAGTAGAATCACCAACAGTGGGCAGGTTTCTGCTGAACTTCCAGACGAAGACATACTAGGACATACATATTAGACAGACTAAGACAGACTTAGACAGAACTACTTCTGAATGTTTAACCCCTGAAAATCTTATGAATAACAAGAAAACACTGTCCGAGACAGTGCCAGAAGACGAGCCCCTCTGCTTGGAAGGCACTCGAAATATAACTGGGGAAGAGCTTCCTCCTCAAAGTAGTGTTGATCATGGTGACATAAATGGAATACAGCTTTTGGGACCTTCATTTGCTGATGGGGTACAACACATAAAGAGGAGAAGCAGCTGCAAACATCCATCGGAATATGGAATGTACGAAGTATTGTTGTTGTTAAGTGCCATCGAGTCGGTTCCGACCCATAGCGACCCTGTACAGGGTTTCC